CTCTTCCAGCTGCACCAGCAGGGTGACATTGTGGCCCTGTTCCGCCGTCAGCTTCCCATCGGCAGTGACGATACGGAGCCCGCGAGGGGCCTTGCCGGGACATTTCTGCGGCTTGGCGGTGTACTGCTCTCTCACTCCGTCCGTGCAGTTATTGGAAACCACCTTTCTGTACCTAAGGGAGAAGAACTGAAGCTATAAGCCAGCTCCTCCTGAGGCAGGTGACCCCCGAGATCCTGACCTACACCTGCGCCTCTGCTCCGGATCACCACAGCCCCTGACCCCAACCTTTCATGTTCCGGTGAGTTGACCACTGCTTCGCAGAAAACACCCAGCAGAGCCACAGAGCACCGGGTAGCAGGCTGTGTCTCTTATCAGCATTTTCCCTGACTTCCTTTATTCACCTCATCAATTTCTTGAGTCATTCTGGAGCCAGGCACATAACTCGAGCACGTTGTGCCCTCATTAAGACACTATCTAGTTGCAGAGGTACCGATGGAGAATTGGGAAGATATTTAAGGATTAGATGAGCAGTACAATTGTCTCTTCGAAGTCTTCAGGAATTGTTCCAAGATGCCCAGCAGACTCCTGAAGCAGCCCATGGTACTGAACCCTATAAATAGAAGCGCTCTAGTATACATACTACCTTTGGTAGGGCTTAATGGATAAGCGAGGCAGATTAAGAGATAAACAAAAATTAGCTCATGGTTCAACAATCACAGCAATACACTGCAATGAAACTGATAAGAGAGCTCTCCCTTTCACATTATCTCACTGGCCTTGCCCTGCTTGCGAGGATGTAAGATGACACAGCGTCTGTAGAAAGAGGTGAAATCAGGCACGTGAGACAGCGGGCAATACGGTGCAAACTCAGGCGAGATCTCAGCTCATTACTCCGGGGCATGATTCGAAACTTCTGAATGTTTTATTTCTAGGGTTGTCCATCTTAGTCTACCTGGACTATGTGGAGCTGAAACTACTGAAAGTAGGACTGAGCATTCAAGGGACAACTGACCACTGCTTGTACCGCAAGAGCAATTTGCAATTCAGAGAAAGAAGAGATTATCAACAATACATTACTCAGCATTATCTCTACAGGACACTACAGCAGTAGCAGAGTGTTTCAAGAGGGACACCAGCTAGATCTAATGGTCTAGTGAGTTTGTGAAAGGCTCTCTAACTAAACTATCCTTCATGCTCTTTTAATTGCTTATTTTAGCTTCAATAAAAAATGAGGTAGCTTACAGAATCATTTTATATAATTGACCAGATTCAAGAGAATTAGAATCTGTGACTTAAGGATGATCAAAATTTAAGAATTATGAGAGTTGATATTGCCTATTCATCTTTTTTCCGATAGGTCCACAGTAAGCACTTTAAGTATATGCATTTGATTTCTCAAATACACTCACCTAGAGTTCATTCCCTCTTTCTCCAAAATTAAGACCTGGTGAGAAAATATTCAGCTTTGAAATTACAGCTCAAAACTGCTGGCCCCAGCCAGCTGGTCCTCTACCTGCCATCGCCGCTGTCTTGCTCCACACCACTCTGGGAGGCAGGTGAGGCGAGGACAGGCTGATTGGGGCTGACACGTTCTGATCTCTAGTTTTCAAGGTGGGTTATTTTCCAGCTAGCTCTTATTTTGGGGAAAACACAGTGGTAGAGATAAAACTGGAGGCTCTCAGAAGCCCACTTCTCACTACTGCAGACCAGAGGTCTGCAAATGCTTTACACAAGGATCCGACATTAAGAGTTGGCTTTGTAGACTGCATAGTCCGATCTACTCAGCTCTGCAGCTTTACCATGAAAGCAGACACGGATGGCCCTAGTAAAGCCAGCATCCATCAAAACCTGATTTCCGTCTCCATCTGTGGAGTAGATTTGGTCTATGGATAGTTTTCCAGTCCACAACAATGCCCTTTCTTCTGGTCCTGAGTGTCAAGATTGACTAGCTCAGAGCAGGCCGGAGAGTCAAATGACGCGGCAGCACAGGGTCACTCATTCTCACTCCTCACGCCCCCGGGAGGCGCAAGCACTGACTGGATGAACACACGCACAATGAAAACTGCCTCATCCCTTAGCAAGTGACAATGAAGTGCTACTGGCTATTTTTATTTGATGTCCCCATCTCTCTCCTTCCTGTTTACAACCCTTCCTGGCTTCGCAAGCTCTCAGGATAAGTTTCAAATCTCCTAATCCTTCACAGAAAGCCCTCCTCAGATTAACTTCATTCTATTTTTCTGAATCCCTCCTCTCCCAAAGCTCACTCTGCTCCAGCCAAATCCTCTCTAATCCCCTTGGAAGTGCTTTTCTTTGGCGCTTGCTGCTCCCATCTCCTTCTGCATGCACCATTAGCTGCCTAGAGCTTCCCCAACCTACAAGGCAAAAGTCGGCTTCTGCTTTCTCTAAGACTATTTCTCTGACTACAATAGAAAACGATAAAAAGGCATATATGGAGGATGTTGGATATGTTCTAGTCATGGGGCTAAGATTTGTGATGCAAATTATCTCATTAATTTTCAATTAACCATATAAGGAAGCTATTGTTATTTCCCCTAACATTCTGATGAAGAAGCTGAGACCTATGGTGTTAACCTGTTTTCTCAAGGTCAGGTGGGGCAGACCCTTGACCATTTGCTCTAGAATGCACTCTCTACCACTGCACTGCATGAAATGGAAGAAGACTGATGCTGCTCTAGACTCTGAGATTCTCATAGGAATCCTTGGCTTTGCTCTGTTCTCTTACTGTTTGGCCACGAAAGCCTGAGGCTCTGCAAGGGCCTCCTCATGCCCAAACCTGCAAGGCTGAAGCTCGGAAGGCCCCCACTGGCATGACCGCATCAGCGTGGCGGCTGGATACCTACAGGGCAGGTGGCGGCCGCACTCTGGAGCCCACTCTCCTGCAGCTCTGCCCCTCCTATCTCTTCTTTGTTTTTTGGATACAGGTTCTCACTATGCAGTTCACACTCCTAGTGATCCTCCTGTCTCAGCCTCACTCGGCGCTGGGGTTGCAGGTGTTGTGGTTTGTGTCTAGGTGTACCCTCAAAGCCTCATGCGGTTACAGGGCACACTTCTAGAGTTTGTAATTAACTCACAATCCACTGGGATTATGGGTAGGAGTGCTGCTGAGATTAGGGGAGTGAGTGCTACCCCCAGCCTGGGGCTGCTGGCCTGAGTGCAACATAAAGGAGACAGACTTGCTCTCTGTTGTCATTGTCGCTGCTACTCCTCCCTTTTGCTCTTGCTGTTCTGCTGCTTTCGGCCACCATGAACTGCTGCCCTCTGCCATGTGCCCGTCTGCCTTGGAATGACCTGAGTATGGACGGACACCTCCACAAACTGTGAGCTAAGTAACCTTTTGTTCCTTCATTTCGTGTGCCCGGTACCTTGTCCCACCAATGAGGGAAGAGTGACTGAGACAACAGGCATATACCACAAGGCCCAGTTCTGGGACCAGCACAGTACTGGAGATCAAGCTCGGTGCCTTGGTCTTGCTGGGCAGGCGCTCGTCCTGCTGAGCTCTCTCCCTACCCGGATCCTTAATCCAGCAGTCAGCACGTTTACCTTGGCACACAGAGGTGTGCTCCCCAGCACACCACCTGCTCTACTGCTCCCCCCACTGCCCACTCCCACTGGCCACTGCCAGGTCTGAACATTCTGAACATCATTCCATGAGACAATCCTCCAAGGGGTTTACGCTAATTACAAAAGAGTAAGGAATGGTCATCACAAGCCTTCGCTGATTAAAAAGGAAAATAAGAACCGATGGGAGGAAAAGAAAAAAAAAAAAACAAAAAAACGCAGAACCTGGAGAATGCTACCATTTTGGTACCATTAAGGGGAACAAAAAATGACTCGCGCGGCCATGGAGGGGAATGGCGGCATTGCAGTGAGCTGCACTGCCCGTCCAAAATAGCTGGCCTGTCTTGGGATGAGGCACTGTGGCAACTCAAGGCAGGTGGCCTTGCTGATCCCTCAGCGTCCAACCTAGGAGCACACCTGGGACTCCGCCTTGGCAAGCAGCTGCAGAAGCACAGGCTTGCCATCGCCACTGGCTCAAAGCTACAGAGCGTCCCCTTTGCCTGTCCCCATTCTGCAGAATCATGACCTCAGGCCTTCATGCATCCTGCAGCAACAGGGAGTTCTGCTTAGTGCCAAGGCCCAAGTCGCTTCCCCTGGGATTCTGAAACAGAGAAGCCGCATAGTAATTTTTTAAAATGCTCATTAAAATCCACTCTGCAACCATTTTATTTCTTAGATGAGAATGGCATTGCATTAGCCTTACCAGACCTGTCCCTGAAATCTAGAAGAAAATTTTACAGAAATACAGAGTTAATTTACTCCAGTAAGCACACACCTGCTTTTTGCATTACAGAATGGTTCTATTTTCATCCCAGCAGCTGTCCCTGGGTCTGAGTTACATAAATGAATAATGCATTTAATATGTTATTAAATGGGGCCTGCTACCTCCGTAATAACAAGGCAACTTATGATTATGTTGGAGCTGAGCTCTGAATATTACCGGGATACATTTAGTTGGGAAAGCATTCTTCAATCTGCCAAGAAGAAAAGTGCTCTGTAATGGCCAGGGAGCTTTTGCACAATTACCGAGTAGGAGGTGTTCTGCAGACGCGGCTCGGGTCGCCTTCGCGGCCGGTCCGCACACAGGGCCTGACCACTCCGACCGTCCTGCCTCCCGCTGCTGTCTTCCTTCCTCTCAGTCACCCTTCCCTCGCTACCTACAACTTCTTTTATTTTGCATCTCTGCTGCTGAAAGTCTTAAAAAAGATGACGATCATGATTTTTTTTTCTCTGTAAAGAAAAAATCTAGAAGCAAACACTGAATGTCTTCATATGCTGTGATTTTTTTTTTTTCAATTTGTTCCTATTCTTTTGCCTTATGAGTTTAGCGGGGTGGATACAAATTATTACTGTTCATGGTAGGTAAAGTGAAAGGATTTGATAAGCTCAGTAGATCTCAATGTTGCCTGCCCTTTTTTTATATTGATTTTTAATTGACAAATAATTGTATTTATTGCATACTCTGTAATGTTTTGGTCTATGTAGACATCACAGAAAGATGTGACGTAATTGCCAAGCTCATTACATCTATTTTTATTTTTAAGGTATGAGAGCATGAAAAGCATTTCTTTAGGAATTTCAAAATATATATTG